TTTTGAGTATTTTTCTTCTAAATTTTATATAAGGAAAATTTTTGTTTATAAAGAAAAATTAATTTTTCCACAAAAAAAAATATTGTCCGCTTTTTCATTTGGAAAAAATAGCTTTTTTTAAGGAAAAGCTCACTCTATTCTATTCTTAGTGTCTTTCACCAATTTTCTCTATTTAGGCCTTTTTAACGAATTTACATAGAAATTCGAATTAAAAAATAAAATAACATCTTTCAATAAAATCATCTATATAGGAGAAATTGCCACTAATATTTTCTCTATTATAGACTATAATAACAACCTATTCCTTATGAACATCAAAGACTTCCATATATGCTTTAATAAGGAGATATCTTTAGAAAAAATGAATTATTTAATTAATAAAATCGACTAATATGACATAAAGTACTATTAATATGACCAACCTGAATAAAAATAATACTTATAAGATAAATTAAGGTCTAAAGAAAAAATAATTAAATAAAACAAAAATATCCAATATTGTTTAAAAGAGTCTTAAGAAAATAAAGATCCGTTTGTTTTTTATAATTAAATATATTCAATAAATAATAAAATATATATAAACACAATTTAAAATACTATAATTTGTATTTCGGTTTAATCCTGGAAAGATACTTTTTATATTTTGTTAAAAAAAAATGAATATTTTTTACAAATGCATTTCTTGTATTAAATATATAATAATAAGCATAGATTTATATATGGACTTTCTAATAAAAAAGAAATTCTTAAAAATTAATTAAGCCTTTCAGTATAATAAACTGCATTTGAAATTGCTAAAAAAGCAATAAATGTTTCGAAAAAAACAGAAAATAAAGAACTTTCTATTAATTTCTTTATTTTTTTGTTCGATTTTTTATTAAAAATGGACTAATAAACTATTCTTTTTAACGAAATTAAATAATTATGTTAAAAAGAAGATATTGAATGCTATATTGAAGCTCTAGTACCATTTCTAAAAAGAAATAAAATTCATGAAATACCAAATAGTATATTAGGAGAAATAGAAAAATATTATAAAAAAAAAAACAACTATCAATAAATAGAATAAATAATAATAAATTTAAACATTAATAACATAGAAATAGATAAATTAATAATTTTTACTATTGAAAAATAATTAAATAATGCATTAATATATGTAAAAAAAAAATAATAAATAAATTATATATTTATATATTTATATATTTATATATTTATATATATATTTTTTTTTATATTTATTACTTTACTATATTATATTTTTTTTTATTTATTTTCTATATTTTTTTCAAAAAATTCTATAATCTTTTATTAAACACTTAAAAATAAATTTAATTATATTTTATTTATTATTATTTTATTTATATATATATTTTTTTATAAATTATTCTATAAATTCATATTTTTTAATCTCTATTAAAATAAAATTTAATATAAGGTATGTACTAAAAATACAAATAAAAATAATATGGAATATATTATGACACCTTTTATTTATTTTTGGTAAAAAAAAGAATAAATTTTATAGTTGAAAGCTTTATGGTATGCTTTTTAATGTCTTTAAGGAAAATTAATTGATAATAGTCATTTTTAAATGATATTTATGAAAAAAATACTTGTTTAATTTAGTGAGTTTTTGTTTTGTGATGAAAATTTAAAAAAGGGAATAGAAAATTTCCCAGAAGCCTATTTCGAGGTTTTGGGCGTCTTTTTCGGAAGAGAATAAATTAATATATTACAAAAGCAGTAAAAAATAGTTTTTTATAAAAAAAATAATTTCAAAAATATAGATAAATATATAAAAAATTAATAAGATATTTATAATTAAGATAATAAAATAAATTATGTAGTTTATATGTTTTTAATAGTCATTTAAATCTCAAATGATTTAATATAAAATAATAATGAATAAATAAAAGGATTTTTTTACCTTTTTTTATCTAGAATAATAACATCAGTAAATATTTTAAAATTACATGAAGAAAAAATATTTGAAATAACAATTTTTTTATTAAAAAACTAAAATTTATTAAATAAAATTATATACAGAAAAGAATTATAGAAAGAAATTATAAATAATAATAAAATAAAATAAGAAAATTAAATACTTTAAAATAACAGTAAAAATAATAATAATAATAATAATAATAATAATAATAATAATAATAATAATAACAATAATAATAATTATTTCTCTTTACACGAGCTTCTTCATTTTTATAAATAAAACTTAATAGCAAAACTCTTAAAATAAATATACTCAGATAAACTTTCTTTAGAACAAAAAGAACAGCTTTTTGGTTTAACAGAAATTTCCTAAAATATTCCTGCGAGAATATTTCTTTACAAAAAGCGCACAAACTTCGAACAAATAAAAACAATGCTTGATATTCTTTTCCTTTCTAAAAATAAAATCCTCCAAAATAAATCGTTTAAACTCATCCTTAAATTTTTCTCCCAATAAACCATCTCATCTTCCTAAAAAATATCCCTAATTCTCACCTATATAGATAAACTTTCTTAAATTAACCCTCAAAAATTCAACCTCCTTCTCCTCCAAGCAGTTCCTCCTTAATAAGAGAAAGATATCCTTTTATAATTGACCCAAACTCCTCATTTATAACATGAATTTCTCCAAAGATTACTCCAAAATTGTTAAAAAGCTGACCCGTAACTCTAAACCTTATACATATCGCTCAAATGCAAGCTTGATAATTCTCCTTAAGAAATTATTAATACTATAAAGCAATAAATGAATAATGACCCCGACTACCCTATAATGTAAGTATTTAAAATTTGTCTAGAAAACAAGCAATATGAAAGCTGTTATTTTTTATGTATATAAATTCAAAATTTCGAACAGGCAATACAAATAGTGTTTTTGTAACTCTAAAAAGCATTTGAAAATTACCTTATATATTGTTCAAAAGTAGGGTCTGAAGATTCTCAGAATTCTGTTATCTATAACAGTAGTTTTTACCAATTTTAAAAAAAAGATTCTTTTTAATAAAGATAAAGCAAAAGAAGGATTGCGACTTTAATTTAAAATAATAAAGTACACGAATATGATTATTAAATAAATTAAATTATACAAAATTTACTAAATGATATAAAAAATTGTACTGATAATGATATTTGGATGACTATATTTGATTAAATAATTATTTTAAAGGAAAAAAACACTGAAATAGATTCTTATTTTAATTTAAAAAATATATATAATGAAATATTGGGATAAATCATTATTTATTTAGTTTAAAAAATCGGAATAAGTTGTTTTCTTTAAATACTAGAAAAAAAACAATTCTTTGATATTGATGATATAAAGAATGCTTTTTCAATATTTCTAAATAATTAAATATACACTAAAAATATTTACAATAATAACCTTTATTTAGTTAAAGAAAATATAATTTAACTAATAAAGTTGTACCAAATAAATCACCATAGAGGCATTTTTGTCAAAAACAAATGTCATTTTTGTCATTTTTTATTAAAAGATTCAATATCCGTTTTTCAATGTGGGCATTCATTTCATTTAAACTGTTCTTTTTTGGAACAAAATTTCGGAAAAATATGCTTTTTATGTATAAACTAGAATAAAAATTATATTTTTGACATTTTTTTAGCTGGCAAAAAAATAGATTTTGGTAAAATCAAAGGACCGAATATAGAAAATCCTTAAAATAAATATGGAAATAAAAATATAAATAAATATTAAAATAATAGAAATTAAATTATTTAATAAAGAATACTAATTTTTGATTAAATTAAAAGGAAAAAATTCTGAATTTTTTTTAATTTTTCTATATAAATAAATACTAATATATATTATTTATATATATATATTAAAATTATTTTTATATATTATATAGAAAAATATATTTATCATAAAAAAATTATTGTTTGTTTTTTTATTATTATTATTAAAACAAAAAAAGAATATATGGAAACTATTATATCTAGTATACTATTATGTATTAATGTAATTATCACATTCTTAACTTTATACTTATATTTAATACACTAAGATTATAAAAAAGGATAAATTACATCTTACGAAATAACCTAAATAATAAGTGAATATACTTAAATAGAGATATATTTGCAATTATGTATTACTATAATTTGTATTTTTCATAGCAATTACATTATATTTATTTTAAATCTACCTTTGGCTATATTTAATTTATCAATATATTTTAAATAGAGCTATAAAATTCATGCCTTTACAAATTCAGAATATATACATAAAGCTAATTATTTTTAAAACATGGTCAAATATAAATCTATTTTTTATTGTATGCTATGTTTTATTTTAGGTTATAGATTCATTTACGCATTTACTAATTTAGTAGCTTATAGACTTGTAATATTAAAAGAATTATTATAATAATATTATGATGATTAAATTAATTCATGAAATAATTATTAATTTATTTTTTCAAATAAAAAATATTATTTATAATTATGCACAAAATTAACTTTTAATAAGAGACATAAATAATAAAAAAATTAATTATTTTTAAAAAAAAAATAAAAAGAATTGAAAAAGTTATATTTTTTCGAAATTTTTTATATTTGAAATTATTAATAAATAATTATTTTTTTTAACTAATTTTCAATTTTTACAAATAATATTTTAAACTAGATTTTAATTTAATTATATAGATAAAAAAATATTAAAATATAAATTAAATAAATATATATATTTATATATATATATATAAATATAAATATAAATAAATAGAATTTGCTTTATTAAATAGTATTACCAGTTATTATTTAAATAATTAATTATTTACTAATATATTTTATTTATATATATTTTTAAACAAAAAAATAAAAACAAAAAATTAAAATCAACTTTTTTTTAAAAAATAAATTTAACACATAAAAAAAAAAAAACTAAATAAATGAATACAGCATAAACAAATTCTTTATTTTACGAAAGACTTAAAGTCCTTGAATATGAATTTTCTTAAATGGATTAAAATTTAAACAAACATTTATTATATTAATAACTAGAATAAATAATAGATTTTAAAGTAAACCAAAAAATAAAAACAATAAGAAAATAAAATAAAATAAAATAAAAATAGAACAAAGGAATATTCGATAGAGATGTATTAAAATAATTATATGACCATTTAGAATTCAAACATAGCCAAGATCCTTTAGTAGAAATAAATTTAAGGAATTTTTGCGTAGTATATTTAGAAGCAGAAGACGTTCTAAAGCAAAAAATAAATGACGCCAAAAGTTTATTAACAGACTGTTATAATAAAAGATAAGAATCTTAACAAAAATTAAAAGACATAAGACAAGTTGAAAACTTAAATAATCATGGAATTTCACATAATTCAAAATTAGAAATAACAATAAAAAGTGTATAATTATTTACTTTTATACAAACATAACCCTATGTATCAGTTAAAGTAGGAAATTAATAATAAATGACAGAATAAAAATAAGGAACATCTGTATAATATAATACTACATATAATTTGTAAAAATAAGAAAAATAGAATTTTTTATAAATTTAATATATATATATATATATATATATATATATATTATTAAATTTAAAAATAATAGTGACATAGTTACAGGACTAGAATAAATATAAATTTATGTATTAGATTATTTATAATAATAAAAAGATTCATTTCTAGGTTAAATAACTATTCCTTTAAGTACTATTTAAGATTAACTTTAACATGAGAATGAATATGATTTAAAAAGTTCTAATGGATAAAATGTAGGAAAAATTTATTTGAATTTATAATGGATACATTCTTAGGTACTTTATTTGTAAAAAAAAAAAAAAAAAATATTTATATTGACAAAAAAAAAATTGTGATTAATTTTTATTTTAATATAAAAAGGATAAATATCTTTCCAATTTAATTTTTAAATTAGATAATTAAATAAAATAATGCGAAGAAGACTTATATGATTATTAATAAGATTTAACTATACTATATTAACCTTTTCCTGAATATAATCGAAGATTTTTAAGTAATTTAAGTAATGTAGAGTTAAAAAATAATATGTATAATATAGAAGAAGAATCTGAATAAGGAATAGCTATATAGTAATATAACGACAATTTTTTCTCTTAAAAAAATACTTAAGACCCTGAATTTATAATGAATTAAAAAGAAGAAAAAAAAATAACAGGATTCGTATTTATTACTTTTTTTTTCTTGACATTATTATCATGCTTTTACCGACCATAATTTTTTGATGTATTTTTATTTTATAGAATATAAATTTTTAATATATATAATAAAAAGTGGATGATGTGTATAGTTATAATGATAATTTATCATTTACATGAATTAAATCATATTAGAGTCACTTTTATTTTAATTTTGATACTTTTTTCACTTATTTTTGATCTTTTTTGGCTTATTATATTTTCTTCTGGATGGTGGGAAGGATCTTCTAATAAATTTACTGATTTTGAAGTCGAAAAAGGAATTAAATAATTTACAGTTTTAATAAGCTATTTATCTTTTTTTTTAAAAGTTATTTTTATTTAATTTTTTATTATTTTTAACAAAAATATTTCTATATAAAAAATTATAGTTTTTCATTGCTTTCTAAATGCTTAAATTAAAAATTTTACTTAAAAAATAATAATCAAAGGAATTAAAAGAAGAAAATAATGATTTTTAAGATGCTTAAGGAATACTTATTGCTCCTTCCTAAATTTTTAATAATCCTAATATTTAACCTCCTATTTATTGTATTATTTTTTTTTTACTATTTAATATTTTAATATATATAGAATAATCTTTTTATGGATAACCTTTAGTCTAATAAATGCGTCCGGTATAAAGTAGATTAGTACTTGGATAAAGTATGGTCAATACAAATAGATTTTGAAAAAAATTATAATAGTTAATTATATAATAAACGTATTTTTTTATTATATGTTTATTTATTTTTGAAAATTCGCAAAAATATATTTATTAATTTATATTTTAAAAAAATAAATTAACATTAATTGTTTTTTAGGTTTTTATTAAATAAAATCATTAATAGGTATATTTTTACTAAGAAATTCTAAAACGAGGAATTCTATAAATATAATATATATTACTAAAAAATGACATTTATATATAATTTAATGAATATTATATATATAATTCTATATTTATTTAATAAAAAAATAATAAATATTATATTAAATAGTAATACTTTATATGTAGATTTATGATTAAATTATACTTACTCTAAGTTTAATTTTTAATATATTTATGTTTAAAATTTTAATATTAAAAAAATTATAAAATTTATATAATGAATAACTTGAATAACAATATTCTATTTTTACAGTTTTATCAAATTTAGTACTTATCGTAACATTTAATCTTTAATATAAATAAATTCATCTTTATAAGTTACTATTTATTCCTTTAGTAATATACAAAACAAATCAATATTTAATTTCCCTTTTTTTTGTTAATAATAATTAAAAAAACATATATATATATATATTATACTAAAAATTAACATATTTATACATATTATAAATATATACAATTATTAGAAGTACATTAGTTATTTTTCAAAATACTATCAGTAAAATTACTTATTATTAATATATCTTCTTTTTTATTAATTATTATATATTTCAATTATTAAGTATTAAAAATTACTTGGATATAAAAACTTATAGGCTTCTATATATTTTATTGTTTATAATCTTATTTTACTAAAAAATTTTCTTAAAATTTTATTCTTAATGATACTTAATACTTATACTTTATAAATATTTAATATTTTATATTAACGATTTGATTAAAAGGATATACATATTTTTTATTTATATATTTAAAATAAAATTACATATATATCTATTTATCAATCTGAATTAATTTTTTTTATTTTAAGATATTTTTTGTTAAAATTTGGTTCTCCTTAAATATATTCAGAAAAATCTTCAAGTATGACCTTAATTTTACGATTTTATTTTTATATTGTAAATTCTCTTTTAAACAATTTATTAATTTTCTTACAGATTAATTAAATTCGCTATTTTTAAAAGGTATTTTTTTAAATTTTGTATCTTTAAATGAATTTTTATGTTTTATCCTTTATTTACAACCCATTTTATTACTTATTTTTATTTTAATAATAAATCAAAAATATATTTAAAATTATTATAAAACCATTATTAATTATTCGATTGACAAATAATCATGAAGATATATAATTAAATAAATTCTCATAAAAAATAATAATGTTATAAATTCTTATAAATAATAATAATATTATAAATTATTGTATGAATTATTTCCTTATAAAAAAAAAATAAATCAAACAATTTTAAAAAAACTACTTTTATAATATTTAAGTTCTTCAATACTTTCTAATATATCATCCAAAGCTCTATGTTAATTTTTTTTCACAGGCGCATCTGCTAGTAAACCAGGATTCCATTTTTAAGCTAAAGTTTTAATAGTGGAAACATCAATAATTCTATAATGTAAAAATTCAATTAATTTAGGCATTTGCTTATCAAGAAATCTGTAATCTTAATGCACCGAGTTTCCTGTAATGTAAGCTTGTCTTTATACAACATTATTACTTTTTAAAAACTAAAGAACTTATTCTTCTGCTTATTATAAACTTATTTTACTATTTAAACTTTGTTCATAAAGTCCACTTTCTTTATGGTGTTTTGAATTCCATTCATCCATTGTATCTAAAAGTGTATTAGGAGCATTTATTACAATTTCAGGACCTTTAATTATATTTTCTAAATGCGAATCAGTTAAAACTACGGCTAATTCGATTATTTAATCATTTCTGACGTGTAAATCTAAACCTGTCATTTCTAGGTCAATCCAAAGAAAAACTGGAGTAGAGTTTTACATAATTTTATTTTTTAATTATTTAATTAATATAAATAGATTAATTAATTTTTTTATTTTTAATCAATTTATAATTAAAAACTAATATCAATAAAAAATAATAAATTATATAATTTTAAGTATTCTTTTTTTTTATTAAATTTTTAAACAAAATAAACATAATGAAAAAAAAAAAAAAAAACATTATTCATAAATTTTTATAATTATAAAGGATATTTATGAAAAAATTAGTTGATAAAATTTGAATATATATTAAATAATTAAATTATAGTATAATTATATTAAAAAAAAAAAAGTATAAACAAATATATATATTTATATTTATAATATAAACTTAAAAAATAAATATATAATATTTATTAAAAATAAAAAAAAATTAAAAAAAAAAATAAACAAATAAAATTAAAAAAAAAATTAGTTATGTTTATTAAATATAAAAAAATATTAGAATTTTTAAGTAATTTATAATAAATATATTAATAATAAGAAAAAAATAATTAGTAAATAATATTTTTTTTATATCAATAAAATATATAATAATTAAACGAAAAATATAAAATAAATTATATATGTAATATAAATATTTTAAAATTATTATATAAAAATAAATACATATATATTATAATATGAATATCTATAAAATTTATATATAAATTTTATAATTTATTAATACAAATTTATGAATAAAAATAATAAATATATAATAAATATATATTTTTTTTCAAAAAAAATGTATTTAAGTACATAAAATATATATATTTGTAATATTTATTTAAGAAAATATAAAAATAAATAAAAATAAAATTCTTTATTAAATATCGTTCTAATATAAAAATAAAACTATATATAAAAAAAAAATATATATAAATATATATATTTAAAAATATATTTTATTTAGATATATATTTTTTTTTTTTATTTATTTTTGTTTTTAGATATAAATTTAAATGCATATATTTATATATATTTTTCTTTTTTTCTTTTTTATATAATTACAATAATTATATAATTTTTATTTTATTTAATTTATATCTTTTTCAATAAAAATATATTTATCTTTATTTAATTAATTATATATTATTTTTATTTTCTTTTTTTTAATTTTGTCTTAAAAAACTAAATAAATATTTATATTTTTTATATAAAAATTATAAAGAAAATTTATTAAATATATATATATATTTATATATTTTATTATATATATATATATATATATATATATATATATTATTTTTATTTAATTTTTTTATCTTTTTTAATTTTTTTTGATTATGTATTAACTTAGAAATTATATTTTATTTTATTTTACTTAAAATATATACATATTATTATTCTCTTATCTTTTTTTTTTAGAATTTTTTATTTTTAATACATTTTTGATTTTATATAAATTATATTAATATTATATTATTTTTTTTTAAAAAGAGTATTTTTTAAAGTATTTATTTAAACTATTATTTTATATAATTTTATTAACCTATCTTCTTCTATATAATATTAAGGTAAATATTAGCAATTATTAATCTACAAATTTTTACATTTTATACACAAAAGTTTATATTAATAAAAATTATAATTGAGTCAATTTTCTTTAGCAATAAATCTCTATATAATTAAAAATTTTATTATGAATATTTTATTATGAATAAATTAATTTAATGTAATATTATATTTTTTAATTAGAATAGATTTTTATTTATTTTATACACTTTTTATATATAAATATTTAATTTCATTATTAAATCTTATTAATTTTTATTTTTATTTTAATAATGTTTTTATAATTAATTTTTACTTTATTTATTATATTTTATTTTGATTTCTTACTTTTCTAATTTTTTATTGTTTTTTTTGATTCTCATATTATTTTTTTAATTGATTTATCTAATTAGATTTAAATTTTAGATATACTTTATACTTATATTTCATAATATTAAATTTTTATAATATTAAAAAATAATAATATTTCCTCTATTTTAAATATTTTTTATTTTTTTCTATTTTTTTCTATCTAATTATAATGCATATTATTTTAAATATGAAAAATATAATTAACTATTAATATTTATTTTATTTGTCTGAAAATTTTATTTATATTTCATTAAATTTTGTTTATTAAATATATTAAGTTTCTATTTTTTATCAGTATTACATATATAATTTATTATTTACAAATAAAAAATTAAATATAATATATAAATTCTTAAAATATAAGTTTTAATAGAATTTGTGAATTATTTAATATTAATAATGATATTATAATAGAAATTTTTATTAAAAATATTGGACTAGCACTTTTTTAAGATAAGGATATTATGCTTAATATAAAAATATAAATATGTTTTATAACTTTTTGTCTAAAGCCAATAATCTTATGAATTAAATCAAAATTAAAGTTATAATTTTTTTTTAATTAAAAATGCTGTTTATTATTTGATTTAATAATAATGTTTTATTAAATATGCGCACAAAAAAATATATATTATTTTTAAAAATTAACAATAATGTATTAATTAATTATATTTATTAAAATCAATTATATATTTAAATATTTAAAAACTTTATTATATCATTATGATAAAGTTTAGATATAATTTTTGTAATTTATTGGATTTAAATAATAAAATAAAAATTTTTATTGATAATTTATGTATATAATTATAAAAAAAAAAGTCATTAATTTATTTTAAAACAAATAAAATTAATATAACTATTAGTATAGTTATATTTATATATATTAAATAGCATATATACATTTAAAATATTTATTTTTTTATATTCATCAAAAAAATAAAACATATATTTATGTTAATGATTATTTAATTTAAGTTCCTTTTTTATAAAATTTTTTATTTTTTAAATAATAATAAGTATAAATATTTATTAGATAATGTTTTATATTATTTAAATTAATTAATTTTACATATTTATCATTTTATAATAAATTAATTTAAAAAATTAATAGAAATTTAATTTAAATTTTTAATAATAATTATAATATCTATTTAGTTCCCTAAATAAAAAAAAAATACAAACATTATATATTTCTATAAAATGAGTTACGCATATTTGTTTAAATACATTATTATAGGAGATACAGGTTTATATATATTTCATCAAAAAAAAAACTTTGAAAATTAAGTTTTTAATACTAAAATAAAAAAAGGTGTAGGAAAAAGTTGTGTACTATCTTAATTTATTGAAAAAAAATTCAAAGAAAAGCATGATGTAACAATCGGAGTAGAATTCGGTGCTAGAATGTTAAGTATAGATAATAAAAACATAAAATTATAAATATGGGACACAGTAAATAAAAAAATTGAGAATATTTACAAATATGTGTAATATTTATTATAAAAATAGGCTGGTTAAGAATCTTTTAGATCAATTACAAGATCTTATTATAGATCTGCAGCAGGTGCATTACTTGTATATGATATAACAAGGTATTTAATTTTAATTACCAAAAATTATATATATAACTTTATAAAAAATAAAGACGTGAAAGTTTTTAACATTTAAGCAGATGGTTAGATGAAGCAAAGCAAAATGGAAATCCTTAATTAAGTTTTATATTAATTGGTAATAAATGTGATTTGGAAAATTAGTAATTATATTCTTAATTAAGTTAAAATGCGAAAATTATATTTATACAATAATTAATAGACGATAAGTTACATATGAAGAAGGACAAGAATTCGCAAGATAAAATGATCTTTATTTTTTAGAAGTTAGTGCCAAAACAGCTTATAATGTAGAAGAAGCATTTAAACAAACAGCGAAAATGATATATGAGAAAATTAATACAGGATAAATTAATCCAGGACAAGAAGTAAATATTTTATTATATTAAAATTAAAAAAAATAAAATAAAGAATTTTGGTGTAAAAATAGGAAATGAAAATACAAATATCCATCAAAACACAGCAAATATAAATATAAACACTAATAATAATAAAAAAAAAACATCATAAGGATATTGCTGTTGAAAAAAAAAAAAAAATGCATATAAATATATAAAGCATATAATATATAAGTATAATTATTAAAAAAAAAAAATTTAATTATTTTTTTAATTATCATAAAACAAAAAAAATTTTCAAAAATCAAATTATTTTAAAGATTATAACAAAATATTTAAATAATCCAATTTTTCTTTTTATTTTTAATAAATCCCATTCAAAAACAGGAATAATGATAAACAAATTTCCATAAAGTTAACATATTTTTTTCTTTAATTCTTATTTGCCTTTAAGTATTTCTTTATTTCTACAATAATGTTAATATCCATTAACTTCTACAACAATTTATTTTCCAATATAATTTTAGTTTATTAAAATATCAATTTAAATATGATCTACATTAGCCTCTAAAAAATGAGGTATTTTTAAAATCTTCATATGTTCAGCTACATCTAAACACAACATACTACTTTTAAACTAAACTTAAAATATAATAATAAAATAAATAAATAAATTAATAAATATATATATATATATTATAAAATATTTAAAAAAATATATTAATAAAAAAAATATTATATTTATATAAATATATATATATATATATATATATATATTTATATATATATTTTACATTTTTTATTCCATTCTAAAAATACATCTTCAATGTTTTTAATTAATTCATTATTATAAATATCTACATATTTTTTTAAATACAAATGAGCATAATACAATACTGTAACATCTTATTAACTAATTATATAATTAACTTTGTGATTGTAAAGGAAATAATTTATTAAAAAATATATGCATTTATTAATTTTTTCAGGTTTATCAAGTATACATAAAGCCCAAACGCACATTGAAACATATTCTAAATTTACATAATCTTAAATATTTTCTTTTTGTGTTGAAAATTTAAGTGCATAAAGTTCCACTATTTGATAAAAATATTCTAGAAAAGCTTCTATATTTTATTAAACTATGTCTTTATCTTACCTAATGTTCAATTTTCCTAAACAATGAATTATTTAAAAAACTTCATTTAATGTAGTTAAATATTAATCTCTTGTATTTTATTCAAAACCTTTGAAATCTTACCTTTTTATGCTCTCTATAGCTTCCAAAACTATAAAAGGTTCATAAAAGGATATTTTTTGTAAAGAATTACAAATAAAAGCGAATTATTTTGTGGTCTATATTTCTTTTTTAATTATTTTCTCTTTAATTTCTTATACTATTTTTTCATAAAAAGCATCTAATTCGTATAAATATACTCTTCCATATGTATACAAAGCTTCTAATTTTCCTATTATACTGAAAGCCTTCAAAATATTTTCCTAAAAATATTTCTTAGGCCTCTCTTCAGCCAATTTATTACATATAATTTCTGAAATTTCGATCAAAAAAAGCTTATTTATGCTATCAGAAACCCTTAATTAATTTTAGATTATAAATATTACATTTTAGAATGATAAAAGATTTCTCTTTTAAAAAAAAATACCTTAAATATATTCAAAATAAGGTATAATTTTTTCCTTCCAATAAATATTATTTTTTGTATTTTGAATAATTTTACTTAAATAATATTGTAATTATAAAGCATCATCAATTTTTTATTCCTTAAAAATAAAATTTTTTAACGCCTAAAAAAGTTGTCCTTAATCTCTATTAAAAATAGGAAAATAAGAAATCACAAAAAGCAGTTTTTTTATATTTTCGAATGAAATCTCATTTATGTTTTATAAACTTTTTTAATAAATTTTTCTTATTAAAACTTCTTATTTAGAAAATTTTAAATTTCCATTCATTCTATATATTTCGACTAATTTATAACATATTTCAATATTAATCTCAAGTTATTTTTCTATATTATTCTTTTATTTTCTTAAATAACAATCTATTATATAGGAGTAGTTTTTTAATAATTTCTTCTCGAATATATTGTTTTATTTAAATTTGGGTATTTAATTAATCATATCTTCTAATAATTAATTAAAATTTTAACAGCTTTCACTTATTTTAGGAATTATTACTTAATTTAAATAATCGTAATCTTATATTTTTAATAATTCAAAGGTATTTTTTACTTTATTTTATTAAATTTTGCTATTATTTATATTTAAAATGGGTTTTTTTATATTTTAAATGGGTATTTTTATATTTTAAATTGGCTATTTTAATGATTTTGTGAAAAATGGAATTAATAAAAATTTGCGCATTTTTGTTTATATACTTATTTTTATACTTTTTTTTAGATAAAAATAAATTAATATTAATAAATATTTTTTATTTATTTAAAAAAAAAAAAAAAATGAAAATACATATTTAATTATTAATTATTATATTATTTTAATATAAATAAATATACAATTAAATCTAAATAATAAACGACAAATACAATTATATACAATAAATATGGTCAGATACATGTATTCCTAACGGCAAAAATTAATCCCCAATCGACATAACTACATCATACAATGAATAATTATAATAATGTGAATTAACGGATTAAAAAATTTACATTTCTTTCACAAACGAAAATATATAAGCATTAATAGAAGATTTAGGATATACTATATATGTTAAAGGAAATTGGTCCACATTATATTATTAAATTCAAAAAGATAGATTATTAAAATATAATGCTATAGGTTTTTAATTCAGGAGTCCTAGTGAGCATAAACTTAAAGGAAAATAATTCGATTTAGAATTATAAATAGATTACATACTATAGAATTCTAATGATATTGAAGACTAACCTTAATTTGCTTTTTTTTCAATATTTTTTAATAAAAAAACGGAACTGGATTAATAAGCAAGTGAATTTTTTACAATAAATGATTTTTCGAAAGTTAATGAAAGTTAACATATTAATTTCTATTAAAGTTTAGGATATTATATAATTAATTCGGATAATAATAGTGCTTTTTTATATTAAGGATCTAAAACTTATGACTAATGTGAAAGTTCTTATTGGATTTTGTTTGAAAATAATTTTATTGTTGATTTAAAAAGCTTTGAGTTGTTTTAAAATTTATGGAAAAAAAATATTGATTTTATACTGACTAATGAATATGGGAATATTATTTCTTAAGGAAATAATAGAAGAATTAATTTTAATAAAGGAAACGTTATTTATAATTTGCCTGTTTGCTAATTTGGTAATATATTGCTAATTTATAATTTATTTTATATTTTATTCTTTTGAATTATTATGTTTTAAAATAATTTTTTATGTTATTTTTTTTTTTTAAAAAAAATAGTTTATATATTATTAATTATTTTAAATAAAAAAAAAAAATAATCATAAATTATATAATTTAATAACGTATGTATCATTAGTTTCTATTATAATCAAATTTTATATTAAAATAGTTTATATGTTTTTTATTTTTTAATAAGAAATTAATATACTGGATAAAAATACTACATATTTTTATTAATTATTTCACCTCAATTTTTTTTTTTTTAATTAAAAATAAAAATTAAGATAAAAAAGAATATAAAAATTAAATATTTATATTTTTAGTAATTAAACTTTTTTATTTAAATAAAAATAAAAAATATATTTAATTATTTATTAGTTATAATTAATGTTCCACTATTATTTACTTGAATTTTAATCGATGAGAATAAAAAATAAATAAAATAATTCATAAAAATAAAAATAAGGGATAAAAAAATTCTATAAAAATAATAAATAATAGTATAAAATATACAAAAATATTAAAAATAAATAAAATAAGATAAAAAAGCAAAACAAAAAATCATATTAATATAAAAAAAAAAATATAAAATAAAAAAATTAAATAATAAAAATGAAAAATAAAATATTATTTATAATTTTTTAATTATAATTTATTTAAAAAATAACATCTTCAAATTGTATTTTAAATTGTAAAACTTGTATAAATTCTTAATGTTTAGAATGCGAATAGGGATATTATAAACTTAAATAAATATAAAATCAATCCATTAAATATTGTTTACCATGTTCTGGTGAAGGTTGCAAATAGTAATTTTCATAACTACATAATTATATTAATATATATTTTTTTATCAAAAAATATAAAAATAAAAAATATATCTAAATTTAATATAAAAAAAAAAAATTAATAAAAAAGATGTGATAAATAGGGATTTTGTAAAAAATGTAAAGACAATTATTTTAAAATTGATAATAAATGTATAAAATGTGGTATAGAATATTGTTTAAAATGTTAAAATGACTAATCATGTTTACTTTGTATCGAAGGATTTGTACCAGTAAATAAATTGTGTGAAAAAAAATATACTAAATGCTAAAGTTAGCCTAAAATGTATTATGATAATTAAAAAAAAAGTTGCATTCTATGTATGTAATACTGTATTAAAAAATAAAAATTAAAAATATATATCAAATATATATAAATATAAATATAAAAAAAAATATTTATATTTAATATATATATTTCATATATTATTTTTATTATTTATATTATTTATATATATCATTTTATTTATATTTTTTATATTATATATATTTATATTATTTTTATTTTTTTTAATTTATATTATTTTTTTTATTTATATTATTGATATTATTTATATAATTATAATTATTGATATTATTTATATTATTTATATTATTTATTTTATTTATATTATTAATATTTTTAAATTATTTATATTATATATATTCATTTATATATATAAATTAATATATATATTTATATATTTAAATATATTTATATATACATATATATATTTATATTTATATTTATTAACTTATTTTTAATATAAAAGGTTCATATTGTAATAATTATAATGATTGTTTTCTATGCCAAAATTAGTATTTCTATGATACTTAGTTGAGATAATGTATTTAATGTACTTAAGGTTGTTTATCTTGTACTAATTTTGAATGCTTATTATGTTTAAAGGATTATTATTTATATAAAGGATAATGTATATAATAGATTAAAGATATTATATGTGATATTGGTTATTTTTTTAATCTAAATGAATGTTAAAAATGTTCA